CTCTCTCTCTCTCTCTCTCTCTCTCTCTCTCTCTCTCTCTCTCTCTCCCTCTCTCTCTCTCTCTTTCTTTTTCTTTGTACGACAGGGTCTCAGCCAAAGTGTAGAGGTGTATACGTTTAATCCTAGCACTCAGGAGGCAGAAGCAGGGAACTCTGTGTGTTTGAGTCCACCCTGGTTTGTGAAGCAAGAGCTACCCAGTGAGAGCCCATTTCAAACAACAAAAGTAAAGACAGGATCTCACTGTGTAGCCCTGGCCATCCTTGAACTTATTATGTAGACCAGGCTGACTTCAAACTCAGAGATCTGCCTGCCTCTGCCTCCTGGGTGCTAGGGTTAAAAGACCACTAAAACTAGCTTAATTTTTTTTTTCTTAAGAATTTCAGAACTGGGGTCCTGGAGAGATGGCTCAGTAGTTAAGAGCACTGACTGCTCTTCCAAAGGACATGGGGTTCAATTCTCAGCACCTACATGATAGCTCACAACTGTGTCTAGTTTCAGGGGACCTGACATCCTCACAAAGACATGTATGCATGAGGGCAAAATACCAATCTACAAAAAATACAAACAAATAATTTTTTAAATTCAGAATTGGGGTGTGGCACATGTCTTAAATTCCAACAGTCCAGAGGCAGGTGGATCTCTGTGAGTTTGAGGTCAGCCTGGTCTACAAAACAAGTTCTAGGACAGGACAGGCTATATAGTGAAACCCTATCTCAAAATAATAGTAATAATAAATTCTAAGATGTTTTCTAAATCTAACTTCATAACCTCCTTAGAAATCTGAAATAAGTAGATTTATTCTCTGGTTTGTAGCTAAGGCAAACAAACAAATACACAAACAAACATTGAGACACTGAGTGATTGTCTGGCCCTGGGGTCACTCAGCTGTTCCTCCAGCTGTCATCATGAACACCTGCCTGGTATCCTATAGTCACAACTGGTCTTAAAGACACTTGAGGAATGACTGAACCTTACAGAACCACAGCTGGCTCTTGGGATGCCTCCTGGAACCATTTGGGATTAATAAGGCGCTGGTGGGAAGCTGATAATTTCAAAAGGAAAGGATCAGTTCCATACACACCCCTTTTAAGCTAAATAGCAAAACAAAAATGAGGAAAAGTACTGATAAATTGTGAGAAGGCCTCAGAGATGTCTTCAACTGCTTTTTACTCTCCTAGAAACCAGATGTATTTGGATACTTCTAGAAGGAACAGGGAAGAGATCAGATCAGTTAACTCGCTTGTCTTCACATCTGGAATTCAGGTCTGGGCTCTGCCACCCCAGAGGGTGTGCAGAGCCTGTGGGTGGGGAGTAGACTGGACAGACTGGAGGCGATTTTCGGGAAGGGGGCGATTGTGTCAAGGTTTGAGAAATTATCCTATTCAAAGGGTCTCCGTCAGGGCCCTGGAGCACTTTGTAGAAGATGCTTTGTGATAAATAGCACCTTAGTCTTTACGAAGGCCTAACTGTAGTGTGTGCTGTAAAGACACATGCAACTACAACCTCATCTGACTCCCATTCTACAGATAGGAGAGCTGTGACCTCCCCAAGGTCGACTGACCCTGAAATAGCAGCCTGTGGTGCAAAATACAGGCCCAAAATATTTGTTTCTGGCCTTCAGCAGCCCCAAGTTGCCTTCTTTTCTCCCTTGGTGGTTATGAATCACAACGGCAAGGAAATGACTGGCTGTATGTTTTAATTGCTATTTAAAATTCATTTTCTTGACTAATGTAAGCATCTGAGTAAATACTAGAAGTACGCCTTTGCTTTCATTCACCTTTCAAACTTTAACTTTATTAGATGATATAATATTGCCACACAGTGTTAACAGTGTGCACCTTTCCATACATGCCCCACACAGATGTTTTATTCCCGTTTTATCTTTTTTTCATGTGTGTTCCACCAGCATGTATGTGGAGGCCACATCTGTGGCAGCCAGAAAGAGACTGGCAGATCCCCTGGAACTAGTTGGGGGAGTTACAGAAGGGTTTGGGTCATCTTGTGGGGCTGGGAATCGAACCCTTATCCTCTGGAAGAGCAGCCAATGCTCCTAACTACTGAGCCATCTCTCCAGACTACTGTAAATTTAAAACGAAAAAAGAGAGAAACGGTGCAAAGAGGTTCTTTTAGAATGGTGAAGAATCTCTATTCCAGGTTTGTTGTCTTAAAGTCAACAGGAATCTCCCTCAGGTGGCTCAGTCTGAACTTGGGCATTTGGACGGTGAGCTTGGGGACCGACCCTTCTCTCACACGCTAAGCTGTTAGTGAGTTATATCCCATCCCTACACCTTCAATCCTAACTCGTTTTCTACAAGCCCAGAACTATCCTGAGAGGTCTCGGGTGCCTCGGTGTGACAGCAGCTGAGGTGAGGAGAGATGTTGGCTGGAATTTTTTAGCTGGGTATGATCTGGAACCCTTTCCAGGTGTCTCTAAGCAAGGGGCGCGGATCACAGACCAAGCCCCATCTCTTCCCAGAGTACAGGCGCCTCCTAGCGGCCTGAGCCTAGAGGCCTGAGCCTCAAAGATCCGGAGCTGGAGCATTCTGGAGCCTCTTGTTTATTCGCTCTAAAACAGTCTCAAGCTCCCGGTACAAGTCTCTCTAAACCGAGGCTGCGCTGCCAGTTCGCGCCGTATCCCACGTTTCCTCCAGCTGGCTTTAGCGATGACACAGTGTCTCTGGGTCTGAAGCTCTCTGTAGCGTCACTGGCCCGGGAGGGCCTTTTTATTTTTTATTTTTTTTCCCTCCCTTGGCCTGGGAGGCTCAGGCTACAGAAAGCAGGAGAAGGGGAGGGTCTGCTACAGAGAGCTCGATTGCGGTTCAGAGCCCCCCCCCGCCCCCGCCATCATCCCTGGGCCAAGAGGGGGACGAGCCCCGGGAAGGGTGGGTGGGGGCACTTGTAATCGCGTGCAGCGGGACAATGCCGACTTTTGAACCTCTAACCACTAAGCAAACAACCCTTGTGCTCTTGCTCCACTGTCCAAACAGAGTTTATTGACAGGCGTTTCACGGCAACGCATAGCAACCGCGCCGCCGGCGAGGAGCTGGCGTGTGGGCGCGGCCAGCGATCCATGCTGGGGCGGGAAGCACCTGGGGGCAACGAGGATCACCTGGCCCTGAACCTAGGGAGCCCCCGCCCCGCAGACACCCACTCAGCTTCCCCCTGAGTGGCCAACACCCTTCCTTTCCTACTGAAGACGTCTTTCCCAATCTTCTAGCAAATTCGCCACCTGGAAGAGTGGAGAAATTGGGGAGGTGCTACCGGGTGGTGGCGGGGTGGATGAGTCTCCCTGCCCTGCCTGCCTCCTCCCTCCCTGTGAATCCTGTACCTTAGGGCACGGCTTAGTCCTAACTGGAGGTGGTAAAGCTTTCCTTTCTGGCCTTGCCGGAGGACCCAGACACTCAGGAGACGCAGCAGATCCGCCAGATAGGCAGCCACCACTTGGATCTTATTCTGATCTTGAATTCTTGTGTGTGGTGGGGGTGGGGGTGGGGAAGATAATGTCATTCCGGGTAGATAGAAAGGAGTGTAAATGCCTAGGGATTTAGAAGACTAACTATGCCATGAAAGTGTTGTCGGGAAAGAACAGAAAAATATTAGTCAGTGCTGCGCCCAATTCGATGGGCTAAGGGGCGTACCAGAGCGCGAGCCCCGCTGGGTTGGTTGGGGGTCACTAATGGAGGAGCTGCCTCACGTTTGCATTGAGAAGGGAACTAAGGCCCTCTTACCCCACCCCCACGAATGGATCTGCAGCAGCTGGGAAGCAGCTAGCCGTTGTGATGAGCTTTTTGCCCAAAGGCACCCCCAGGAAAACCACACATTCCACAGCCCATTGCTGGACTGAGGCGTGGGGGGTGGGGAAAGGCTCAGGACGTGCTCCTTCAGCTTCTGAAGCTTCTTTACCTCTTCCTTACCACCACCCCCAGCACCCCTACACTTCTAGCTTGCAACCAGAGAAGATATTTTATTTCCTAGAAAGAAAAATAAGTTCAGTCAAAATCCAAAGAAGATAAAATTCAGGATCTGAAATCTGTTAACGTTCGTTTATCTTTGTCTTTTTACAAAATAAAGTCAACTGTGTTCAGATACCCACTCCTCCCCACTTCCCTTCACCATACAACTTCTCTACCCATGGATCCAGAAGGCTTTTTAAAAGGCTTGCTTGGCTTGTTACACAGATCAGTGACTCGAACAGCAGCAAACAATTCCGGTCGTCTTCAGCCAAAGATGAGGGAAGGGACAGGAAGTCCAGGTTGGCTCTGGCATTTACAACACAGACATACATTCAACCTACAGCAGCTCTGGTGACAGGCTTTCTAAACAAGCCCTTGTCGCAGGGGCCTGGAGTTGGCTAACCTCCCCCACTCGTCACAATCCCTGAACCCACCACCCCTTCCTGATCTGTGGAGAGAGAAGAAAACACAGACCACCTGGGGGGGGGGGCAGGTTCTGTAGTCCAGCTTTCTACCTTAGCTGCCTCTGGCTCCTGTAGTTTGAACAATCCCTGCCCCTGAGGCAGGACGGCCAGCTGGTTCTCAGAAAGCAGTCAGCAGGAAACAGCCATCTTGGCTCAAGTATTGCTACCCCCAACCCCAGCCAGCCTCACTCTCTCCTCAGCTCCAAACAGAAATACAGTCTATGTTGGAGGCAAAGAGCTGGGGCCAAAGAAGCTGAAAACTTGGTGCCTGTGGCCAGTCCTGGCAAGGAGCATGAATGAAGAACCCCCAGGGATCGCTTCCGTTGTCGTTACTAGCAGGAAGAATCAGAATGGGAAAAGTTTTTTTTAAAAAAATATCTAAACCATGTCTTCTCCTGAGGTCGGTCCACAATCCCACTCATCTTCTGTCCTCAATTTCCATCTGCAGATGTTGTTTGTGGGTAGGAGGAGAGGGGTCTCTTCTGGGGATTCTCGAAGCGTCCGTACTCCTCCTGGTTCAGCCTGGGATTGCTGTGCCGCCGCCGCTTCAGACCACAGGAAGGGTCACTGGGTGACAGTGGAGTTTAAAACCCCTCCAGCTGGCCCCAGAACCCCAGGGACAGAACCAGGCACCGAGCCTTGCAAAGAGGTCACAGGACTCAAGGGCTCGGGCACGCTCCGCAGTGCACCCGGCTGAGGCTGGGGAGGCTGTGGGGGCGGCGGTGCAGGCTGCTGCTGCTGCTGCTGCTGCTGCAACTTCTTCTTGTTGATTTTCCTTTCCTTGGCTCTGCGGTTCTGAAACCAAATTTTAACCTAGAAATGACAAAAAATAGAAGGTAGAAGATAAGAAGTGAGAAACGGCGCCACTCTTCTCCCTCCACTGAGCCGGGAGTGTTCCCAAGGCCTCTTTACTTGCCTACCCCCTCCCCAAGTTGCTTCCCCCCCAAAAAAAAAGCCTTTACTAGAGACAGAAACTCAGAAGCAGGGAATGGAACCAGCCGAAAGTTATTCCCTACACAAATGGTTGGCCAGCTCAGGTGTGGGTCACCGTTTGACCTTCACAGCTAGCTCATCCACACTGCGGTGTTCTTCACCTTGGCACAGCCAATGACATTTCATCCAAAACCTCCTGGCTGTGAATTTGTCCTGTTTTTTATTTTATTTTTCCTTTTCCCTAGACTGCAGAAAGTGTTCGTGTGCCAAGTAGAGCCTCTTTTGATTTTTTTTTAAAGGTTCAAGGGTTTGTTTTTATTTTTGATATGTGTATGTGTCTGCATATATCCACAGAAGTCAGAGGCGCTGGGTGCCCCCTGCAACTAGAGTTACACGCCACTGTGAGCCACCTGATATGGGTGCTGGAAACAGAACTCTGATCCTCTACAAAAGCAGTCAGTGCTCTTAAGCCCTGAGCCATCCCTCCCAGCCCCTGCCTCTTTATAGTTTGTACGCATAGACCGGATCTTTGTTTTTCTTTTAGACAGTTCCTTATGTTGTAGTGACCCCCCCGCCATAAACTATTTTCATTGCCACTTCATAACTATAATTTTGCTAGGTGAGCTGGGGTCGCGACCCACAGGTTGAGAACCATGGTCCAAGTGACGTTTCACGTTCCATACTGTAGCATATACTTGGCTTTTCCCTTGCAACTCTCCGATCCATCGAAATAAAACGCACAGAAAGCGGGGGGGGGGAACCGGAGACTCAAAGATTCTCAAAAGGCAACGGCTCCCTTGACCAGGCTTTCTAATGCTACCCATTAGATTGCCCCAGGCCATAATAACCAGACCCAGGAAAGGTGATTCCCACCTGCCTCTCGGAGAGCCCAAGTGTGCCAGCCAGCTCAGCTTTCCTCCTGATGGTGATGTATCGACTATAATGAAACTCCTTCTCCAGTTCCAGCCGCTGATGGTCTGTGTACACCACCCGGTATTTGTCTTTCGTCCTGGTTTTCACTGTGGAGGAAGGAGAAGTTTTGGCTAAGAACTACAATCCATCAGTCATAGGTAATGACAAACCTCCCTAACCCAGGAGTCATTTCCCTTCATCCACTGACGGAGGGGGGTGTCTACTACCCAGGCTGGCAATATCCACCCACAGGATACTGAGTGTAAGCCTGGGGGCACAACGAATGTGAAACAGAAACCTCTCACACAGCCCCTTCCTTTCCATAAACCAAATATTTAGGATCAGAAGAAAGGGAGGTGGGGAAAGTGGCCAGCGTCCCCTAGAATATCAATATCCACATTTTCAGACTTACTAGGAATGGCAGCCCACTTTGAAAATGCCTGGGATGTGGTTTCAGGATAAGCTGGTAGTTAACTTTTGTTTCAATATCGTGAAAAGGTGGATGCTGGGGCTGGCAGATCCCAAACAGTATCAATATCACCCCCCACCTCCCACCCCTAAACACAGTAAGTCCTGCCCTGGAATTCTGAGCGGGGCTCCATATAGTGTCAGGAGGAAAACCCTCATGCTAAGAACACTTCACACCTGCCCAACCAGGTTTAGCCCAGGGCATTTTTTCTTTTTTAATTCCCAATTTATCCCCCCCTCCCCCAGGCAACTATCCTGACCAAGTGACCTGTGATCATTGGATTGAGTCAACATATTAAATCTTGGATTGATTGTTTTACTGAAGGACCTTGGCAAATAGCGCAGGACTGCTGGATCAAGCTAGAGTCTGGCTATTCAACCCGGTTAGTTGGGGTTGCTTCTGGACAGAATGCTGGCTAGGAACTGTTCCACGTCCCAAGTTGGAGAGATCTCACATCAGAACAGATTTTAGCGCTCAGAGCCTAGTTGAACAAGGAGATCTAAGGGGTGGGAGTTGCCCAGAGGTGTTTAAGGTCCCGCAGGCTGACTTTGTTCAGGTAAAAACCTTTGCAGACCACAACAAAAGCGCCCTGGGAAGATACAGGAGGGATCAGAGAGAGGTCCCCCCGCCGCTGAAAGGGGAACACAGCCGCAAACAATGCAAGACAAGGCGATCTTATCAAAGAAAAGCGCTTTCAATGCCTTAATAACAACCGCATTCTGTTTAAATTACCACTACTGAGCAAATGGCGGCCTCAGCTTTCATCCCCCTTCCCCGCCAGGCGCATTAACATAAACACAGCCCCGCAGGCGCATTTGAATGGGCACTGCGGCCCCAACCCCGCGCCTGCTTTGGAAGGGACCCAACCAGTCCCGAGCGGGCTCATAGGAGCTTGTAACACTCTCGGGAGTGCCCTACTCCACAGAAGATGACAGAACCGAATCCTAGGTGTGCAGATCAATAGCAAAGAGCTTGTAGTCCTAAAGGAGACCATCAGACCTGGGAAGTGAGGTGCAGAACAGTCCCCCACTTCGGTCCTCGCCTTAGGATGGATGATGCCCTAAGAGCACCACGCGCTGGCTGAGGAACGCAAAGATGGTGATTCTGTGAGCTCTGCGGTCCGCTCCCCAAGGGCCCTGCAGGCGCCCCGCACCCCCTGGGAACCAAGGAGGGGGGCTGGAAGAGGGGAGGGATGAGAAGGAGTTGTCAGAATTCATTATTGACTGCGAAAGTCACCACCCTCTTTCCGGGCCCTAAAAGAGACAATGGCCTGGCTGAAAAGGTGTACATCAAAGCCGGCCGGGCGGCGTACACGCCTCTGCCCCTTGACAGATGACGCTCTGCAGAGGAGTCGGGCTCCGGCACTGCGGGCCACAACTTCCCTACATTAACATCACAAGGGCGCCCGGCGCCGACAGCGGCCTTGCCACCTCGGCTCGGGACTTCACAGCGACCTCTCATCTGCTGACCCCACGGCCTGGGCTCCTGAGGTTCTCCTCCCCCTCCCAGGACCCCTAGTCTCGGACCACCCACCCCCTGAACGCAAAAGTTCTTATGCAGGTCTAAGACCCCTACCGGCGATCCTCCGCTCACTGTCCTTCAGGCAGGCTTGGGAAAGGAGGGTTTATTGGAGAGATCAGGTTTAGGAGTAAGTCCTCTTGGAAATGACCAAGCCAAAGCCCACTGGAAGCTTCTCTCTGGCAACATTGCCCACCAAGACGCTGACGGGGTGTGCGCAGTGACGCAGAAGTGTCCAGAGATAGGCCCCCAAGTGCCGCTTTGATTTATACGACTGTAATTGGCTATAAACCTCCTCAAAGTGGCCATAACCCGGGCATGTGGCCCGGCTGTACCAAGAAGCAAACCCAGAGAAGCGGAAGCTCAAAGAGCTGGAGAAGGCTTCACGCAACAAAAAGGGGACTCTTACTATACCACTCCCTGTCACACTTTGCTCACTTCCTTCCCACCCCTATACACATCCGGACATTAGGAACCTCACAGACCGGCATATCTCCCGAGTCCAACACACAACACTCTCAGACACACGAGATTCTAGCAGGAAAGGGTCAAGAAAAATAGCCCACGTCTTAAGAAGCTGAGTTCCCTCAAGGTTTCCTCTCCCTGTTCCTTGCTCTCTGGGATGCCAAGAGAGGACTTCTAAGGGAGACTTTGCTTGGCAGAATGAAGGGTCAGGGATCCTGGAGTTCCCTACTTCCTCTGAGGCTTCTGGGGGCTCTGCATTCTCTCAAGGGGTGTCCCTGCTCCCAGCAGCACAGACAGACCCCTTCAGTTGGCCCTAATGGCCAAACTGATCCTGGAGCAGCCTCCACACTCCCTGGCCATTACCCCTTTCGGGGGTAACTAAGATGGAGGAAGAAGAGCGGGTAGGCACGGCAAAGGGAATCCAAGCGCCCCCATCCTCTCGGCCAGGAGCTGTGTAAGGCAATCCGGCGGCAGCCAAACTCAAGGACACGATTCAGCTCGCGGCGGGCGACAGTTCTTAGATACTACCGGGGTGTTCCCAGGTTGCCAAAGGGGTGCTGTTAGAAAGAGAAAATCATGCCTCTACCCTAAACAAACCTGGGAGTGCGAGGCACAAATATACACTCCTGGGATGAATTCCCCAGGGTTCTACCCCTGTATTTCTCCACTTGCTCCTTCTGTCCTGGCTAGGAGCTGGCAGACAGCCCGCGACAACCTCGACGCGCGCGAGACCTGGGGCGCGCCCCAGCACCGCTTACCTTGGCTTCCTAGGGACGGCTGCGCGGGCTTCCGCATCCACTCGCACAGGTTTCGCCGCTGGCCGCTGGGGGACAGCTGTTCGGCGGCGGCGGTGGCTGCGGGTCCCGGAGGGCCAGGGTTGAGCGTCTGCAGCAAGCCGGAGGCACAGGACGGCGCAGCGGCCGGATGGTGCGGGTGATGATGCGGGTGATGGTGTGCGTGGTATTCGGCGGGGCTGCTGTAGCCCATAGCAGCGGCCGGGGAGCCACCGTTGAGGCCGTGGGCTACCGCGTTGGCTGTGGCAGCGCCCCCGGGTGCGTAGCCATTCCAGTCCTCGCGGAGAGGGGCGCCGTATGCGGTGGGCCAGGATGGCCCTGGGGACTGAGCGCTGTCCAAGTTCGCCGCAGCAGCAGCCGCAGCCGCCACGTGGTAACCACCGTAGTCCGGGTACTGCGGAGGACTGACAAAGTTCTGCGGCGCCAGGTTGAGGCCGCCGGAGTGGCGCACGGAGCTAGGGTACATGCTCACGTCCTTGTCCAGAAGGTAGCTCACGTACATGGTGGCGAGGGACCCAGAGCAGACCTCACCATGCTGCCTGGGGACAAACGTTGAAGGCTGCCAGGGGCGCGGGGCGCAGGGGGCTAGAGATAAAGGCAGCTGACTGCACCTCAGCCCACCGTGCTCTTCTGGGTCCTTGCTGAGCTTCTGCCTCCCGGGCAGTCCCTCCCTCCGTCCTGCCTCCTCCCTCTCTTCCTTCTTTCCTCCCACCTCCTTGCCAGTAGGCTGTAGAGGCGGGGATGACCCGCCACAGGTTGGCTCACGGGAGTCCCAGGCCAGCGGCCTTACGTGATTAACGAGTGTTTACAAGACTCTATTAGTAATGACACAGACACCAATGGCTGGAGACGTCGGGGCACAGCGCGCTACGCGCACAGCCCCCCCATCCCCGAAACACGATTTGCATTTTAAAAGTTGGGAGGGATGATGGATAGCTCATGAGAGAGCAGCGACCAGATCACAGCTGAATATTCAGTCCTTTATTGTTGAGAGCTTCCTCCTTCCAACCTGGGTGCACTTTAACCTCCAATCACAGGTTCAAAGACTGAAATGAAGGGAAAAGCCTTGGGGAGTCCAGAAAGGTAGTCTAGGTGGGAATCTGGGTTTGGAGACTGGGCGCAGCCTTGTTTGTCCATTCGCAGGCAGGAGTGGGTCAAGAAAAGAGAAGAGAGAAGAAAGAGAAGCCAGTGCTTTGGGGACCTTTCTCACCAACCCAGGAGGTGACTTGTGGGGCTATTCCTTCCCACTCTGAGAGCAAGGGTGAGACTGACTGACTGACAGACGACCCTCAGCAATAAATTTATTTCCTGGCCAAAGGAAACCAGTCGTCCTCTATCCAGGTTGCGTCCCCCTCCCCCCCCCCCCCCGGAATTTGTCTTACACTTAGGATTTGAGTTCAATGAAAGCAATTCATTTTTAAAAACTATTACATTAACCAACCGAAAACCTCTTCAAAGCTAACAGCTGGCCCCTCGATATGTTTCACTGCAGCTTACCTTGGAAGGCAGTAGTTAGTGTATGGCCAGAATCCTAATACATTCCTCCCCCTTAAGCTAATTACACTACGTATTCGCTTATTTAAAAGTTTAAAAACATCAAGGGAAGTATTTGTGTTGACTCCTACCCAGTTATTTTTGTCTTACGTCATGCCCATGCTCGTGGCTTAAAAACACTTTCTCCTGAGGCTGGAGAGATGGCTCAGATCTTCAGAGCACTGACTGGTTGGTCTTGCAGAGGACCCATGTTCAATTCCCAGTACCCATTTGGTGGCTCACAATTGTTCATAACTCCAGCCCAAGGGGGTCTGGATACCTTCTTTTGTAGCTATCAGTCACCGTACATGAGTGGTACAGAGACATACATGCAGACAAAACAGCCATACCCATAAAAAATAATAAAATAAATCTTAAAACATTAAATTAGTTTAAAACATCACTTTGTCCTTCATAAAGTAAAAGCTCTCTGTACAGAAATTTGCTTTTCATCCCATGCAATGAAGAAGCAGCCCACTGTCACTCGTTATTACTACTACTGAAAAACTTTGCTGGGCAAAGTTAGATGGAACTACCCTACTGCAGATCCTTTGGCTGTGGAGAAAGCCAACCTTGGCCCTTTTCTCATTCTTTGAGACTTTGGTCTGTCTGTACTAGGCAGCTTGGTGATGTTGGGGCTACCACTTCAGACATGAGGTTCCAAACCACACAGCTCCACGCTAGGCAGTTCTGTTTTGCTGTTGCTGATGGTGCCTGGAACCCAAGGATACAAACAGCGCTCCTTCCTGGAGCCCTGCACTGGTGTGTCCTTCCTGGGGCACCTTTCCAGGCTCCCTCATCTCCTCAATTACCTCTCTTCCACCTGTGGGAACCTGCACATTTTCCTGACTGTTGGTGTTTTGTAAGGAGGTTAAAATGGGGAGGTGGCTTGATAGTCAAGAGCTGTCCCTCAAGAAGCCAGGGACCCTTGTTGCTTCTCTTTAAAGCCCTCCTGGGTACCTCACAGGAACAGTATCTTACTTTCCAAGAAATAAACCTGGAAAAAAGAATACCAAACCCTGTTACAGAAGGGACAAGCAGGAAGGGTGTTCAAGTCCCCAGGGGGTGGCCAGAGTGTGGTAGGCTAAGTGGGAGGCACTGCAGACTTTTGATCTTAGGAGGATCTCCCTCCCCTTCCTGAGACCCAATACCTCCTTCCACCCTTCACATCTCTTCCCAGGCTCTGGAGCCCAGGCCCAGGTCCAGGCCCAGTCTGTGTCTTCAGAATGCCGGCATTCTGGCATTTCTTTGAAATAATCACTTTATTAGGGACAGCCATTCCCTCAGCCCTGTGGAAGCCACTTCCTGAGTTTTTATGACTCTGGGCTGCCAGCCGCTGGCTAATTGTCCCTGTTTTCCAGCTGTGTCTCTGTGCTCTGCCATGGAGGAAGGAGTCCGGCTTGGGCACCCAACTGCTTGGGAGACAGACAGGGCTACTGTTTTCCCCCAGGTCAAACTAGGTCCTCCAAGCTGACCAAACAACAGGGAATTCTAATTAATTGAGGTGCTTGAACCCAGGATAGGAAATGATACTGACAGGAACTGGTTTTCCTCCTTGCAAAACCTGGGCACACCAGCAGTAGCCTGGCCATGATTGCAGTGGCAGAGTCTGGCTGTTTGGAGAGAAGAAAGGAGCCGATGGTTGGTGTTCTCTGACTTGCTCTTCAAGCTCCCCTTCCTCCCTGGATCGGTTCCCCTCTCAGGGAAGAAAATGCCCAGCTGGCTTTCCTAAAGGGACAGGGTTGTTTGAAGAGTTCTGAGTTCTGTAGAAAGTGACAAATAAGAAGGAAGTCCTGGGTGTCCTTCCCAAGATAGTTGGGATAGTTCTAGCAGGTTGGTGGTCCTTGCCTATTTTCTGGAAATCCCCTCTGAGCTGAAGCAAGTCCTCTAGACAAAGTGCTGGCCCACACCTTTAGCATAGTATAGTGCAAGATGCATCAAATTCCCCTCTCCAGGCTCCCTTACTCTTGAGCTGAAGTGCTTAGCAGCATTCTTAAGAGTTTTGTTGCTGTTGTTGTTGTCGTCGTCTGAACTGAGACTATAATAGAAGGAACCACTCTGGATGTCCCCATCTCCACACTAGGTGCTACTTTTCACAAAATATCCTTGTCACCAGCCCTCCATGTTGAGAAAGCTTGAGCTGTCAGGGTAGGAGAGAGTAGGAAGGAAAAAAAGATCCAGGTAAATAAAGCCACAGGAAGGCTTTCTGTTGCTGACAGTGTAGCCACCATTACACATTCTTTGAAGAGGGTCTCTTTTCAGGATCCAGGCTGGTGGCTTGGGCAGGGACTCTGACTGGGGTGGGGGAGATGGGGAGATGGGGAGATGGGGAGATGGGGCAGGGACACATGACACACTGGACAGAACAGGATTAGAGGCTACAGAAAGGGGCAGGCTTCTTCATTAGGCAGAAGTGGCACTCCTTAAACCCACAGACATGGCTCCCTCCCTGCTCAAAGGTTCTGCTGTCTGTTCCAGCTACTGTAACAGGACCTTGCCTCTGCCCCACATTTGTGGTGCCTGCAGCTGGGGAGTGGGTTACCCACCTAACACGGAGTAGGCTGTCTCTGTCCACTTTAACGTTTAAGTCTTCTTTCTGAGTCCCATGAAGACAAGATTGATCTCAGTAATGCAACAGCCCCGTTCATAAAAACCAAAACCACCAGGAAGAGCCAGAGAGACGGTGTCTGGTGAGTTCTCTGAGCTCAGGCAGGCAGGGAGAGTGCCGTGGGGCGCTGTTCAAACTCTACTTAATTGGGAGCTTGGGAATCAGCCACTCTACTCAATCGGCAATCCATTCACACAAAGAAAGACTCAATAATGCATGAATTGACCCCCACAACAGCACCAGGCTCTGCTGCAACCCACTCGGCTGACATCTTTGGGAAGGAAGTCAATAACATTGCTCTTTCTGTGGGGCTTTCCCCAGGGTCGGCCACCTGTCCAGCTCATCAGCCTACAATGGAGACCCAAGTGTTCATCCAGAGGAGTAAGGAGGGCCTGCAGCTGCTCACAGCTGCCAGCAGAAACAGAGCCAGAAGAAGCAGATGTGGTCTCATCTGGCAAACGAAGCTTGCTTTCCTCTTAAGCACACTGGGCTCCTGGCCCTCTCTAGCTAAGGGAAGTTTCCTGAATTCGTCCAGGGCATCTGTGGGCCGAGATGCTATCACTCTGAAGCTCAGGTGCCAGCGCTTAGGTGGGACACAGAGCTGTTTTATGCCTCTCCTAGAGGGACCACCAAGCTTTCTGATCCGATGCAGGGGGTGTAGCTTGTTCTTCTCTACTGTCCAAAATATATTCTCACAGCCAAGAGATTTAAAAAGGGGGGGTGCTGGTTACAAAACAAACAGAAGATACTTGGTTTTCTCCTTTGTTCTAATATTAGCATGTGAAAACTTGGAGGATCACCAGATGGTTCGTCTGATTTCTGTGTGGTAGATGAGAACAGAAAATGACCAGAACTTAAGAGGGAAGGATTTGGAGGAGAGTTTCACTGGCTGGGAAGCACTGTGGGGAGCTAGTATCTCAGGCTCACAGCGGCAAATATCACCTGTCCCCCGGGGCCTTCTGCTAACATGAGCTCTCTCACCATTGTCTCAGGCCTGGGATGACCTTTGTCTGTCATATGAAAATCTCTTCCAAGGAAAGCCTACAGGGTAAATTTTATGTGTCCAGTTCAGGAAGGAGCCACTGACTGGCTGCCTTACCTGAGCAGAGTGGGGGGCGGGGGCTCAGAGTCTGCATAAACTGCTATTTTGCAAAGACAGAGAGAATTGAAGATCTTCCAGAGGTCTCACAGCTAACGCTGTGACCCGAGGAGGTCTCCAGCATTAGACAAGCAGCTATATGTCTAATCTTTGGCACACACAGCAGCCTGTACAGATGTTAATTATTCCTGTGTCTGTTGGTGCCACCCTGGACACACAGACCCAGTGCAAAAACTAGCTATCATGCTTTAGGGTCTCGGAACTCCCACCCTATACACACCATAATGCCAGATCAATCAGGTTCTCCAGTACTACAACTCTGACCACATTCCACACCGATTTCCCCCTGAAGCACCTGTTCACTACAGTCTGTTTATTGGATGCATTTTTTAAAAAAGTTCCTTCTCAATTTTTCTCCAACTGACTGTAAACAACTTTTGTTTCACAGTAAACACCTTCTGGGGGTAGGGAAGGAGAGAAAAAAATCTCCATTTAAAAAAAAATTGGAACTGACATTCTGTGACTCAACTTTGAAAGGTGTCAGTTTAAAACGAGTATACGTTATGCATTGATGTGTCTCACCCCCCTTCCCTTCTTTAAATACTAGCGTCCTTAAATACCAAGGCACAGAGTAAGTTTTTCAAAGCCCCATTTACAGTCTCCAGTTACAAAGTTACAGTTTCCAAGCTCAGAGATGGGCTCCTGACTTCTGAGTTGAGCCTTGTGCTTCGGTCCTTTAACAAGAGCGTTCACCTGCTGGGCTCGGATGTTTTTGTAAGGGACAGTGACAGTGGGGGAGGTGAGGAGCGAAGTCCCTCCCTCTAATCCCCCCAGTGCGCGCACGCGTACACACACACACACACACACACACACACACGTTCGCGCGGGTGAGCTGTCTGGTTTCCGACTGTAGTCAAAACACCCTATCCTCGAATTAGACTGTCTGGTTCTTTTTCATTTTCAATCTTTTTTTCTCGACGGACTCCTAAGTAAAATATTAATTGTTCCCACCGAATGGAAAACATCCCTGCGCCCTCCTGGAGTTTTCTGGGCCCACACGAGAAGAACACTTTGCGGTGCCTGCGGTGCAGCCTTGTCTCCCGCATGCTGCGCACCAGAGGGGAAGAAACAAGGACCAGCGCCAGGCACAGGCTTGTCACTGTTGGAGCCCAGATACAGAGAAAGAAAACTGCCGGCTATCCTTCTGCATCACCGGTCACCTGCCGGTGTGGGAAACCAGCCTCTGACACTTGGCTCTCTAGAAAGGGCTCTAAGTTGCCGAAAGCCTTCCTTCCCAGGTCCCGGATGGCATCCTGCGTCGCGCATCCTGGGCTGGCCTTTGGGCTACCAGCGTCTTTGGAAGAGTCCATGAGTCTCTTGCCCCCCCAAAGACGCCAGCACCTGCTCTTTCCCAGGACTAAGCTGAGGAATAAATTTTCAACTGTTAAAATGCAATTATGTCGCTGCATAGACCCTGTTGTTCCAGAGAGGCACAGGTTACATCTAGAATTCTAAAAATAGCCCTGGCAATCTTGTCTACTTGGGATTGTCTGCATCTTCGGCTTAGCAAATTTACATAAAGAGGGTGGATTCCGCATTTTAGAGCCGGGTTATCTAAGGGTTGGGTTTATCCCAAGGCTAGACGGAATGCTTTGAATTATAGTGGGTGATTTTGAGTGTATGTGAGTGTGTGTGTGTAAAAGAGTGTAAGAGACCACTTAGAAGAGACACTACACTAAGAAGAGACAGAGACAGACAGACAGGAACACACACACACAGAGCGATACACACACACACACACACACACACACACACGCGGGGGGGGGGGGGGAGTGCTGACCTCCGTGGGCACCTGTCGATCCTCTCCCCTGGATGGCTCAGGCCTAGGATGCTGGCTGAGGAGCTTCCCAGGCATCCTGCCCGCATCCCCACTTTCTCACTGCTCAGGGACATAGGTGAGGTGAGAGCTAACAGGCAGCTTTACTTTGATTCGGAGTGTTCCAGGAAGGGATTATTTCTGTGGACCATTCTACCCGGAGCCCAAAGTGTTGTGGCACAGCTCTCTATGGAAAAGGGAGAGAGGGCATTTTGGTTTCTTTTGCTGTTCACTATGGAAACCAACTCTGCTTCCATCCCACCTGTCCGTGATGGGAAAGTCATAATGGTAATTTGTTGCTTCTTTGCCAAGAGAAGCCCTTAACAATGTGTTCTTGGGACTCATTAACATACACACTCTCTCTCTCCCTCCCTCCGTCTTTGAGGGGAGAAGGGGAGAATGCTGTCATGGTCCCCCCACCCCACCCCCGCCACTGGTGATGTTGCTTCTCCAGTGGCCAAAGCAAGCTGACAGACTCTGAAATGTCAGGTTCACAAGCTCCCAAGTCTTGTTCTATTGGAAAGATTTGTATAGGTATAACCCCATATTATCAGCACCACAACACCCAGGGCTGTCCAATGAATATTGCTATTTTAACATTACATAGCTTGTCAGGGCACTCCAGGTCACCAGCAAGGGATGACCATATGGAGGGACAAGGGTGACACCGGCTTTTGACCATCAAATCCTTCCAACTTGGACACACACACACACTTTTTCATCGGCTTCTCAGAGTAAGAAAGTCGCTTCCGCTCACTTGTAAATACCAGGTGAATCAAATGCAGTGGAGATGAAACACCACTCTGGACCAAAAGCCCCCACCTCTCTCTCACTAAGAAGAAAAGAGTAGCCTGGTGGGAGCTTTGGAATCTTCCAAGGCTATAGTGCAGGCAGGGCACGGAGTGGGGAATTGAAGCAACGATCTGGATAAATGGGCAAAGCGCTAACCGTCTAGAATCTGACATATTTTGGCGACGCGTGTTCCTGTGGATGGGTGCACAAAGGGTGCATTACTCGTGTGATTGCTTCAATTCTCCACTTCCTTTGTGTGGGTGTATGGATTGTCTTTGCAGGCCTGAGCCAGCGTGGGGCGCAGGGTGTCCCTCCCTGAAGCATCCTGCTGGCGTTCGGATCCCCAGCCTCTCTGTGATCCCACCCTGGCGGAATGGGCACCGAGCAAATCTGTCAGGCGCAGGTGACTGATCTTCTTCACTTCGCCCAGGGCGGTGCACAGCTCGGACTCTGGCTGGCAGTGCAGCCTGCGGGCTAGCTCCCGAGGCACTGTGGCACGGTCACTCAGCCGTGCTGCCAGTACGAATGGGAAGCCGAAGCGCTCACGGTACTGCGCGTTGAGCCGCTGCAGCCGGAGCCGGTCGTCGATGTCTAGGCTGGTGAGGCCCGCTTGGCTCTGCTCGCGCTGTGACTCAGCGGTGAGCGTGCCCTGCTGCAGATCGCGGCCCGCTAGGTCCGGGTGGCAACGCAGGATACCCTCCTGGCCTGCGGAGAAGCACAGACATACTTGAGAGGGTTACCCATTGCAGATCAGAAAGCCAAGCCGGGTCTCCAGGTAGCGATGAGTCCCTCTCCACTAATGGGATGCGAGCCCCTCAGTCCTCCCCCACCCCCCGGCCCCGCCAGGACCCAAGGGCGGGGTGTGAGTGTCAGGTTGGTCTTTCAGACCTAGAGGGAACGTGTAGAGGAGGAGAGAGGGCAGTCGGGAGGCTGGGAATTTACAACCTGCTCTGCCTAGAGCTGAGGAGTGATAAGAGGTCCCAGCTACTCCGATCTTTTCAAAGTCCTTTGCTCTCAGGGGGGCTTTGATGTTGAAAGGGGGCCGGATGCAAGGGCCCAAAGACTTCCGCCAAAAGCCCTGGAATGGGCTTCGTTCTGCCTCAAAGGAGAAAAGGCAGGGGTGGGGTGGGTCCAGGGGATAATATCCAAGGGGCTTGACAAATAAATGCCCAGATTTTGTGACTCCGTGAGTTCTGGGTCTCTGGAATGAAACAGCCAAAAATCCTCTTGGATTAATAGCATAGAAACCCATTTCACCGGATTTCTTCTGCCTTTGAATGAAATCGGCTCACCCTTTTGTTGTTGTTTGTTTGTTTTAATTACGTACACCCACTTCTGGGTTTGTGTTGTTACTCTTTCTCGACTTACTTCAGAACCCAAAAGAGGCCAAGTGGACAAAAGCTTTGGTTCTTCTAGGTCTCAAACTTGAAAGCCTAGCTATGGCATGGCACCCGGGGTTTTAATTCCTATACCAGGGAACTCTCTGGTGTCCTGGCACACCGTGTCTTTTAAGCACTCTAAGCGAAATGGAATTCTGGGATCGACAAGATCTCAAATGTGACCAGAAGAGTGGCCCGCCGTAAAAGAAGACTCCTCACCTAAGACCTAAAGTCTTAGAAGACCTAATATACTATAGAGAATTCAAGATAATTCGTTCCCCCACACCCTGGCACCAAATGCACAAGCAGTTCACGTTAGTAGGAAGTGAAGGAAAACGGAACCACAAGGTATAACTGACACACACCCCCATCTCCACTAAGCAGGTGTCTTTGACAGTGGGAATAGGTGAAGCTTTGTTGGAAATGGGAAATTAAAACGTCCTTTAGTAAATGTATCTCGATACCCACAAAGAGGAAAATCCCCTTTAAACATGGTGCAGCTTCATCTTCCTCAAATGTAGCCCCTCCCCCCATAACAATATGGAAAAAGAAACATGCGCCCGGAAGCTAACTCATGGCTAGTGTCCCTCTTAGAAGGAGCTCCAGTTCCAGGGGAATCAGACAATTTCTTCTCCTCCTTGGGCACCGTGGTGCACAAACAAGTGGCAAACAGTCACACGCACAGAAATAAAAATAAAAATAAAATATATTTTAAAAAACGAGCATTCAACGAAGACTCAGAAAGCAAATGTTAGATCATCGGCCCAAGGTCACGCTGTACCCTTCGCTTTAAACCCACAACCCCCTTTAATGACTTGCCTGTCCCTGCATTGTAAGGGAGAGTCGGGTCACCAATTCCTGTCTTCCAACACCATTGTTTTCAATTCCCCTTTCATGGGTACCCTAATTCTAGGCCACCCAGAATCACCACGAGTAGTTCTCTCTTGCTTGCTGTAGCCGGGCTTTCCGTGTAGTGCAAAACTGTGAGTGTTAAATTCCCTACCCTGGGGGCTAGGGGCTGGCGGTGCCCCGCCACTCTGAGCAGGGTTGCCCCACATCTACCCAATCCCAGGATGTACAGACAGCTGTGGCTGCTGGAGGGGGGTCAGGCATCAATGCGCTACTAAAAGCCTGCACAACCCCAATCTACCCTTTCTTCTTCCTAGTTACAAACAGCCCCTGGATCCCCTTCCTCAGGGGGATCCAATTGCTCAACTGTGCGTCCTCCTCGGCACTCCGGACTGTCAACGAAGTAGTTATGGGTGGGATTCTAGGAAATGGGGAGGTCTTTTCTCTCACTGTTCCTCACCAGCCTCCCAGCGCGCATGGGTGGAGCTTGAAGCTGAGAGCTCTGCCTAGCAGAGCCACCCCCAAACCTTCTTGCCCTTACACCTCACTTCTCACTCTTCCTAGGGTTTATCTTTCCTCTTGAAAGCATAGCCTGGGTTAATGTTTGCCCAGCAGTGAGATGTGTTTTCTACTGTTGCAGAGAGGACAAGAGGGGGAAAAAGTAAAGGGGCCCAGAAAAGGATAGAGCAAAGGGCAGAGGGAAAAAAACCTCCTGCTAAATTGCTAAATTAGTGGAACTGAAATTTATACACACACACACACACACACACACACACACGTGTGCACCTTTCAGTTAAACTCTGGGATGGTAGCCTACCCAGAAGAAACAACGCTTGTTCACCCAGCCAAAGACCCCCTTCACTGCTGCAAGTCACTGATGCCTTGGGTACCACCGACGGGATGGCATCCGTCTACCTACAGGCCCACAGCAAGGACCTTTCTTAGTCTCCACCAATACAGTATCTCCTTCAAGGTACCTCAGCTGCCGCTTTAATCCCAGTGGGAGGCTGGACACTGTGAACGGTCAGCCTGGATTCCTGAGTCTACCTACTTGGGTGGCCCAATGCTGCACACTCTTTAATCCCTCACCCACCTCTTAAAATCTGGTGGAAATTCTGATCTTTCCATCTGTGTCACTGGGTGCTATGACTAGAGCGTAGATGCAGGTAGGTGTTAGTTACTGAGAACACAGGACACAGGCGTCTGCGTGTAGAAGACTTTCACTCCCTACAGATCCATAGGAGAAGGGCAGGGTAGACAACAGTCCCCACCCCACCCCCCACCCCTGAGCAAGCCGCTCCCAGTCCTGGTACAATGGATGCTATGTCTTCTAGT